ACCTATGGGGGGGGGGAGGGGGGGTGGAGGGTAGAGGGGGTGTGGTGACCGGGTGGAGGGGTGCTATGGGGGGAAAAGGAGGAACAACTATAATAACCTGAACAATAAAGATTTAATTAAAAAAAGAGAAAAAAAAACAAAAAGAAATCATTTTCTCACGAGGTCTTCCTTAATCAATTTATTTAAATGTGTATTGTGCCCCTCGCCCCTTCATTTTGGCTCAGGAAATATATGATGAATGAGAGAAATGACCACAGTGATAGGGACCAAGGCTGCTGGTAGTTAGGGTGGAGAGGGGTGGACAGATTGGAGCATCATGTAGGAGACAGAATATCGGGATAAGTGAGTTACAGGATATGGCATAATAAAGGAGAAAAAGCAAACATAACAGGCAGGAGAGATAGGACATAATGAGAGACAAAGAATGAACTCTTCCTGGGGCGTAGGGAAACAGCGAGGACTATCAAAGAAGTGAAGGACTAAAAGCCGTCTATTGGACATGGCGGCATGAAGAGCTCTGTGAGAATGCATTGGATATAATTCCGCAGAAGCCCATGAGCACTCTGCCACTGTACTCCTCACCAAGCCAGCCTCCTTTTCTGCCTTCTCTCCTGACCAGCACACAGACATAAAAATGCACACATCACACGTGCACGGGCTATTTCTTCACTGGGTGCGGCGGCTTTAAAGCATACGCACACATTCTTTCATACTTCTTCAGTCAGGAGGTGGGGTCAAGTTCGTCTCCCCTTGGTCATGTGTTGGCTTTAATGCCTTGCTAAGGGATGCTGCCAGGAGGCTGAGGATGAGTCTTAAAGGCGATGAAGCTTCTGCCTGGCTTTGACTCTCTATTGAGACACGTCCCTTTGGCCACCGAGTAATGAGGCTGACTATGCTGAAACCACGCTGCTGGCAAGACCTGATGGAGAAAATGCTAGAACTTGAGAAATGCCTGTGGAGCCCCAATACTTTCTGATTCCAACTGTTTGAGTTTTCTTAGTCCACTCCCTGGGGGCAGGGTGGAGAGGGGGGAGCCTTTGAGATGACTCTAGCCTCAAATGCCATCTGACTATCACTACAATAGAGACCTTTTAACATATTGATATTAATATGAAATTAATGTACTGAATTAAAAAAAAATCTCATTTTAATATTAATCAGCACAGATTACCATAGCACAATGGCACAGACTGAGTGGTTTAAACAACGGAAATGCCTTTTCCCACAGTCTAGAGGCTGGAAGTCTGAGAATAGGGTGCTAGCGTGGTCAGGGTCTGGTGAGAGCTCTCTGCCTTGTGTGTAGAGGGTTGGCTACCTTCTTGCTCTGTTCTCACATGGTGGGGAGAGAGAGCAACTCTCTGGTATCTCTTTCTGTTGGGGCACTAATCTCAATATGAGAGTTCCACCCTCTTAACCTCATTTAACCCCAATTACCTCCTAAAGGCCCCGTCTCCACCTACCATCACAATGAGAGATAAGGCTTCATCATACAAATTTTGAGGGGACATAAACATTTAGTCCATAACCGGGATCATGATCTGGAATGCCTACCTGGTCCATTCTAGAACCAGGAGGGGTAATGATAATAAATACTTGCTGTTTTATGCCCACTCTATTAGGGATAATTTGATATACAGTGACAGACAGCTAGGAAACTGGATGCTCTGGTTTATCTTTTAGGCTTCTGCCCACTATTTCCACAGAAGGATTATCTGTACTATCCTTCCCCATTTCTCCCATCCAGGTGTAAGGTAGCTATTCCTTCTATGTGCTCCCCAAAACCCTTTATTCACTTTACTTCGTCGTTTATCACAAATGAGTATATTTTCCTATTTCCCCTATGAGAGTGTCTGAAGACAGACAATATAGAAGTCATAAAATAAAGTTTATTGAAAAGATAAATATTTGCACAAATGATATCTCTGAGGAGAACCTTGGGGTAGAGAGGTATCAGATGTGGAAGGGACAATGTATTTCTCCTACAGAAAACATCAGTTTTACTCTCCATTTTCAATCTCCAATAAGTGTGTGTGTGTGTGTGTGTGTGTGTGTGTGCATGAGCGCATGCTTGCAAGAGTGTCTTACATGTCTGGGTGAATTTTAAGAAGGTACAAACTTAGAGGAAAGCATTACCATAGGTACCATGCTTGGTTTT